TATCGCCGTGATTAGAGCTAACTGTATAATTTAAACCCTTGTTTTACACGGAGTCCATATGCTTAGTTTGGCCTGATATCAATAGACCCGCATCTAATAAATATTCTCTCTTATTCTTTTCCTCAGTTACTCTATTTCTCTCCACTATGTATTAATTTAGCTAAAATTGCACTATTATTTATACCTCATTGTGATGGCCTATTGCAAGTTTGAAAATGGGCCTCGGAATACTTCTTTAGTTGTTAATTTTATGTTTTATTAAAATATTTTGGAAAGAAATAACTGCTCATCCTTATTTTTTGAAAGGTATGTTACGGTTATTCATGGAATGAAATAGTGCCCTATTCCAGAGATCGTCTTCCTCATTAGTTAATTCATCTATGATGACAAAGGCTGTTGAATTTCTTAGTTTGGCTTCATTCTCTACTCGTGTTCATTTAGATTACTAAATATGCGTTTTTATAAAATTTCCTTATTCTAATTTATATTTGGTGATTAGCAGGCTGTTGATTCAATCCCTTGCTTTTGCATCATTTTAAAATGCCTTGTGATTTGAGAGTATATTATACTATATAATACAATTCGTTTTGCATTCGGGCGTTGATTATTTACAATTTTACGCTCTCTTTATTCGCGCGATATAGCTTTTTTGTCCAAGAGTAAACCACAAACTGCTCTCGGACGAGATTTATTTTTGACTTGTTGGAACCCAATTACTTCTTTTAACTCCGATCTTTCTAATCAGTCCGGTAAAATTCTTGGTTTAGTTTAATAGTCCAAAACATGAGTTCTTCTCTAATTACCTATCCTAAAATACTTTTCATATGCCTGAACGATGGAGATTGTCTGTTAGATTTAATAGAGTTATATAATATAATTTGGTGAATGATAGCTACTTTGGACAGCCATGATCTTGGCATAGAACAGTGCTTTTGAGGCTTTGGGCCTCTTGTTCCTCTCGGTAAAGAACTGCACGAATGTGGATTATAAAGCAGCTTCGCTAAACGGATGGATGGAAAATAAATACATGCTGGGCTGGACCTATTCTCTATCGTACTATTCATTATTCCGTTTTGTGGGTTTGCATCTATTAATATTCTTGTGAGCTAAGTTTTCAGTAATATGCAACATTTAGGAATAAAACTCAATCAAATAAAGGCAGGTATTCGTCTCGTGAGTGTAAAGACCAAAATAGGGTTACCTTGGGTTTACCTGCTATTTCTTCTAGCTGTATTCAATTGGGTTTCGCACTGTAATCAAGGTTAAAGAAAGGCCTTGTAGAAGATAACCAGTCCTGCATCCTCTGCCATTCTAATCATGCTAATTTACCAAGTGAGAGATCATTAATAATTCACGAGTTTTATTTCAGTGCTAAGGAGTGTCTCACTGATTTCTACTGTAATCTCTTCGAAACATCTGAGAATACACAAAGAAAACTTTCGATGCTGGGAATTATTATAACTGCTAGAAAAGGACGCAGAACTTGATGTGTTTCACGTCTCCTGCCAACGTCATGCCGTCCCAGGCATTTACTTTGCTCTGCCAATTAGCTGCTAGGCCCCATAAATATGCTTTCGTTATCGAAATTTGTATTACTTATCAACTTTATGATGTTACTAGTTGGCATGTACGGTTTGTCCATTTAAAGAGGTGCCATTTAGGAACCAAATTATGGTAGGGGTCATGCTTTATTATTTTTAGGTTAATTCTAACTCGGATTTGCTAACAACAATGTATCATTTTTTTATAAAGCTATGCTATTAACCATTCTACAATTCTTATTATCCATAGTTCCTAATGCTATCAAAGTATGTGTAGAAAATCTCGATCATTCTGAATTTAATTTTGCATCTTATTATTCATATTCCTGTTAATACTAAAAGACTTTTCTACTATAGGAATTTATTAGTTCATTTGGGCCACACTGAGATCAATATTACACAACTTATAAATGCCTTATTTTATCATCGCCTTATTTTGTTTTTCACATCTTTATTTATTCAGTATGGTCGATGTTGGTGGTCAACGATCTGAGCGTCGAAAGTGGATCCATTGCTTTGAAAGCGTCACTTCCATAATGTTTTTAGTCGCACTCTCAGAATACGATCAGGTTTTGGTGGAGTCGGATAATGAAAATCGTATGGAGGAAAGCAAGGCGCTTTTTCGCACTATAATCACCTACCCTTGGTTCCAAGAATCTTCAGTCATTCTTTTTCTAAACAAGAAAGATCTCCTTGAGGAGAAAATTCTTTACTCGCATCTAGTTGACTACTTTCCAGAATTCGATGGTAAGTTTTGTCTGTAAACTCCACAATACTTCCTATTTAGACCTTTGTAAGATTATTTATCGTATGCTGTTAATTTTTAATATTTATACAAAACTAGGTCGCAAAATGGAACCTTTTGGATGAAACATTTTCCTTCACTTGCTTTATCCCTTTAACAGAATATTTGAGCTACACCTATCTAAATCAAAGATGTCCCATATCTGATAAAAGGCTGGATAGCTTTATACTTATTCAGTCATTTTTGATCGCCCTATTATATTAAACTTTTTTGCCGAACATCTTGTTTGCAGATGGTTAGTCTAAAAGCCTAAATAGTAATTGTGACGCATCGGTTTTCGATCGTGTTGTTTATTCTGCCCTAGTGATGAAGCTAAACTAAGAATCTAGCACTTTCATGTAAGGCTCTTCGTTTATTCCAACCCAGCTTTTCTTCATGTTAACAATCGTATTCGGCATTTGGTATTACATTCACTGTCAGTTCCAGAATGAATAAAGTAAACCCAGCTATATTTTGGCTTAGCGGCCTCTCAAATTTCCTTGCTAACTATCTTGGTACGATATGGGAATCCTAGGAATTCAAATTTTATAATTATAAGTGCAAAATTTTATTGAATATTAATTATATCTTAAATTATGTTAGATAATTGATGAAAACCTTCATTTTTTATTGATTGGAGAAGTGATATTTTATTGCATTAGTACAAAACTTATACTCATTTGAGTTGAATTATTTGATAGCCGCTCAAATTCCTTATGTCTATCCCATGAAAACCATTCGTAAATTGGTTTAATCGAAGTTATCTTGAAAATCGTGAGCAAATTTTACTTAACTGTCTATTACATATCTAAATCTAGTAGTTATGGTATTTCTACAGTGATATTTTTCGCCCATTACATTAAAAAAAATGTATTTTTAAATTCTATTTTAGCTATTAATTATGTACTTATTATTCTTTAGGGCGATTTGATTTGGATTTTCATTTATATGCTACAGTTCATAGTAGTAGTAGTAGTTATGAGTCTTGTCATTCTTGAATAAGAAAATTTTAATTATAATAATAATCGTAATCTCCGAATAAGGTTTCGCCTCATCCTGGTCCGTATAATAGGATGAAGAACGATGTGTGTAGGCTTCCTGTTTCCATTGAATTTTACGTAGCTTTCTTTCCCAAAAGGTATTTTTATCCAAGATCGACTGCGATTTCGACTTTACTTAGATCTTGGAACCGTCAGCAGAGAGTGAACGGGAAGTATAGCTTATAATGCCCACACGTTACCACCACACCGCACTGCAATACATGCCCATGAGCCACAGGAGGGAGAATTTCTAGGAAGATCTGGCCTCATATCATGGGATTGTCGATGTAGCAAATTTTTATTTTGCCATTATTATCACCTACGTTGTTTACTGATGGTTTTGAAACCATATGAATTTAATATCCGGATTTAGTTTGTCCCGTTTAATGCAATATAATTCTTACATAATTATTGTCAATCAAGTTTATTTAGTTTAGATTCTAGTGAATGTTTTGCATGATATAGCACAGTGTTTATTCCTATGCTAAACTATGATTTTTGCTTCCTTTATAGCCTACCTCTGATTTTATTTTTTGTTTGTATTAAGTTTTGAGCATTTATTTATGTTAATTTGAATTTTATCAGAATTGAACTATGGTCTCGTATCATCAACAGTCACACCTGGCTACGAACCATTGACACAAAGGCTAAAAAATTATCGGCTTTTTTAGCCTAATTGAGTTAATTCTACAGACAAATTGGAAGCCTCATTCTTCGCATTTAGTGAATAATGTGTTTGATATCCAAGCTAGTGTACTAATAGTAAACTCTATCTGGGATATTACTTAATTAAGAGCATATGTAACACAGTCAATTTTAATGACAGGATGCAAATGTGCTTTGCCAACATTCCTACCATAATTGTGCCATCGGGTAAGCCTGGCTTGTCCTTAGAATAAAGTCTGCTCTTGTGCCTGTAGCAGTTTGCAAATATACGCTGAATTTATAAATGTTTGATTCCAGTTAGGGCTGCTAATGAGACAGGGACGAGGTCAAAACTGCAGTTCACCTTGGATGAAGAAATTTTTAGGTACGAAAGGATAAGTTAAATTCACTGGCATCGTAAGGCCTAGTCATATAATTGTGGAAAAATTAAATGATAAGCCCTTTATCACATACGACCTAGGATGATTAAGGCTCTTATTAAATAGCTTCTCATATTATCTAGGCCTAATAGTTTTGAATATAAGATTTTCAATATGAATAGAGATCTAAATTTGATTTTATAACCAATTCATCCTCAATTACTCGAGGTTGATTTTGGTTAGCTGTGCATCTTTTCAAACTTTCTTTAACATCACTACACAGTCTTCAAGCTACTGTCCTCATTCGTTTTTGTTGAACTTTCATCTTATGCTGGAAAGATTTAAAACAAGGCAATGATCTCTATAAATTCTGTTTCAGTAAGACTGAATAGCAAGAGCCATTATTTAAGGATAGTGTATCAGCTTTGCTTTGGTGAGTTATATCTTAATTTTATTGGATGATATTATATTCATGTGCATGACCAGTGGCCTGTCAATTACTCTATTGTATGAGTGTATGTGTATAGACATCCTAATTTCCCAGTCATCTGGAGTCTTAATTACGTAAAATGCAGGAAGTGCACTAGTGCATTAATATTAGTTTCCGATTCAAGACTATTAAGAGGAATAGGCGCGCGTTTGGTCGTTTTGTTCATCCAGATGTTTTAGGGCTATCTTACAGCGTGTCTAACCAAAATTAAGACCTGTGCAAAATAATATTTCTTTGTTATACCAAGACAAACTCGTCATTTGTTCTCATTTTCAAACAAATTGAATATAACTCTTTAATTTAGATTTTAAAGTGTCTTTTCTGGTCCAATTTTTTATAACGTGTTACTGAAAATAGATGAATATTGTTCTATCAGTTATTTACATGTTTTATTTCGACTACTTATAGTAATAAGCTAAACTCTATTTCAATTTTTATATGGACTGGATTTAGTTACCTATATTCTTTATTTTCCTTTCCTCATCGTCCCAGCGCTGCCACATCTGATTCTCACATCGTCATTCTGATTTTATTTAGTTTCTTTCTATATGCTTTCTGTGATCCTCATAATTGATTTATATAGAGTGGGACAAGTTAGATATTATTCTTTTCCGTTTATTAAATTCTGTAGTGTCATCTCACGTAAGTGTATCTCTCTCCCCTTATAGTCGTATATTGACATTTTTATCACCCGGAAAAGAGACCAAGCAAGAGCAATGATATAAATTAGCGCTACCGCCTCTTAAGTATACAGGTGACTTTAATTCCTATACACCAAGAATATTTTCTGTGGAGTACATTCTACACGCTGGGATCTTGGTTCATATAAACTTCCGAACAAAAAGTGTAAATGGGACGACCAAGATCGTGTAGCCTTAGGTTTGTTACAAATATTATTTAGCTGTATAGTGTTGGCCTGACCTCACTTTTGCAACTGTCGGAGCTACAGGCAGACTTAGTCTGGCGTCCTCTGTCATAGTATTTACGATAATTTCTAACATCGGATCATTGACTTGGTAAATTCCCGGACACTTCCCTGGCATCGCCGGTCAGAGGCAATCGTATAAATGGAAGGAATATATGAAAACTAGGCTTTAAGAACCCCTTGACGATTTTACATTATTAAACCCTTCCATTCGTATGAAAAGTTGATTTCAAGATATTTATAAATCGGGGAAAAAAGGAAATTTTGTTGGTATTGTCGTTTGATTTGAGGGTAGAAGCCCTAGACACACTGTCCTGCGACACTGATGATTCATGGAATAACTGTATTTGCTGCGTGACAGATATTGTTGGAGTGAGCAGATATTATTTAATAAAATTGTTCTTTACAAACTGTTTTTTAGTTGAAATTTCACTGATTTTTAAATATTAATTTTACTAAGATGTCTTGCAAATATCCGTTTAACAATCCATATATGATTACAATTTGAAGATGTGGCCGAACATCTTTTTCATTTATTAACTCGTCTCAGGTTGGATCTCACAGTGTTTAAGCAGGCTCTGGGGTATGCGTGTACGTGTGCACAATGTGTATGAGTCAATAAAAGTCCCAACCATAATTTAAGGTAATCAAGCCTCCCACTACTCTTCGGTTCATCTCACTTTATAATTTCAGCTAATAGTTAATTACCAATCATTTTCATAAACTAGTTCTTTCAATTTACGTTGGTGGTAGATTCGTTAATTTTCATTGAATCCTTAATCTGTAATTTAGTTATGAAGTCTCCATATCTTTCAAAAAGTTGATTCTTAGGTCACTATCTGGTGTTCTATATTGATAGTCTATTCAGTTACTTTTAATTTCTGGACTCAAACATTTGCAGGCGGCTTTGCACATTGGTTGGTCGACATGGCAGGTTTTTTTCAGCGCCGAATATGGTTAGGATAATTGATTAGCTGAATTCTAGTCAGGTCTTTAACATCTCAATTTGGTCTTACATGCAACCGCTATAGAATAGATGCTAACGTTGCGTGATCAAGCTCCATCTGCTAGAAATCAGGGTGAACTTAACTATGTCAAACAATTAACTGGATATCTCAGAAAGATTTGAAATAAGGTTTGCAGTACTAGGTAATATTTTAGCTAGTCACTATTCTTTGCTTTGTAAGTTTCTTAATTTATTCTCAACTTATTTACAGAGCAGTAGTAATAACTAAATACCCTTAATTTTGATCCCTTGTGGAGACAATTTACGAATCTCTTCGATCCCACTTTTCATTCGAAAAAAAAGTTCAATGACACTAAACTCATATTGAGTTGTCATATCTCTCATGGATCAGGGTCAAGTCTAAATTCTTTGTAGACCTATTTTTATTAAGTATTGGCGAAGATCTTGATATTATTTCCAATCCAACTCTACTAGGGGCTAGTTGACTATATGCGGTGCATCAATGAGATGAGTAGCATGTAAGAAATATGATG